GAGCATGCTATGTGATGTCCATAAAACCTTTTCGATTCAGGGAAAGTTGATCAGGGTTTATATAATTTCTTAGTTACTATATCCTGTTTTTTTCAACTCAGTCACGTGAGAAACAAAACTATACTACAAAGCAATCAATCGTTGTATGCGTTTTTAAGACGGATAACCCTGGGCTTTCATTAGTTATAGATTAACCACCATGGTTATTACTGTTTTACCCTCAGTGGTAGTGCAGCTGAGAGGGCAGTGTAAATGGATATGCAGGGTATGTGCACTGATAGTACCAGCAACAGTTGTAAGTTAGATGAGAAAAGAGAAAAGTTGAAACAGTAGGTGTGGGTTGCTATTAGTTTTTCATTTTAATTGAAATAATGGAAGATGCATTGTAATCGTACCAGTTCCCTCTTTTCATTCAAATTCACAAAATAGTCCAGTTTATAGTCTGCACTTTCCATCAGAAGATTGGGACAAAAGTAGCCTAAATTTTTAATTAAAAACTGTAAATTTACTAAAATTTTGTCTGTTGGCTCCAAATTTAGGGTTTATTTTTCGAAGTATTGAAAAATATAAGAAAAAAGTGAAGACAAATTTGGGTAAGAAAGTCTGGTGGTGAAAAGTTTAAAGAGATGATTGTTGTCCAACACATTACATCACATATTGAATGCATGCTAAACATGGTACAGCATGATAACTGAAATACACTTAGCCAGTCATCGTTTCATTGACTACTTTGCTAGAAATTTTTAGAAAAGGGAATGCACTGTACCAGTATAAAGCATCTGAGAGACTTTTTATCTCCATGGCGATACAATTACTGAAAACTGAGTAAATATTTATGCATATGAGAAATGTTTTGTGAGGAGCATCCAACAATGTTTCTTTATCTAAAAAAAGTATATGTGCATAGTATTTAGTATTTCAACACTAATGGACTTGCAACTTATCATGGTAATGGGCATTTGTTCTTGAATTTGTAAGTTGAACAATAAATAAATCTGGGACTATATGATGTTATTTGCAAGGTGGTTCAGGTTTTTTTTTCTAGAAAAAAATGAACAAGAGAGGGAGCACACACAGGCAGATCGACCTGGAAATGCCATATCAGAAGGTTTCTGCACCATTTTAACCTGTGTATTTATCGCCATTGAAATATTTTTGGAGTAATTTTAGTGTATTTGGTGTCCAGACACATTGTCAGCTGGTGTTGCTGGGAAGTTTTCATGGGGGAAAAATATATTTGAGAAAGATTTCATGTTGTACGGCAGCACAGAAGTGCGTGGCTCAAGAAATACATTTATGACTTGGAAGTTTAATCGGCAATTCGGTAAGAGGGCGCCAGTCGATAGTATCAGGGTGCTGCGCCCCTGTTCTCCGGTTTAGTAAAACCCCTGGTGGTTGAATACTTAATTTCTCAATGTGAATACTACATAAGAACATTCTGGATCGTCTGAAGGAATATGCAAATAAATAAAACTATGGTTACAAAGGTTTTGTAATTGAATACATTTTTGGTTCTGGCAATGTTTGTTATATTTTCATTTTTAATATCAAATTTTTGGGAGTGAATATTCGGCATGAATGAGAAAGAAAACTCGAACAATAGCCGCCATCACCATTACCGCTAAGAAGTGTTTGACATGCTAATGAGTCCTGTTGTTAAACTTGTAAATAATGAAGAGATGTAAGTTGATCTAATCAGTTCTGTTATGCATTCTCTTCAAAATTACGAAAAATTTAAATTTTAAACCAGCAAAAATATGCATGCTCACTATGCCTCTTTGAAAGGGAACTTGAGTCCTAAGCGACGATAACAGTGCACACTAAAAATGAAAAGACACATCGATCGATGCTTAATTGTGAAAGACGCACCATGGCCGGAAAAAGGGTATCTTGTAAGTGGTAACAGGCAAGTTAGGTAACATCACTACATAACAAGTGTAATTTTGTACAAGTCTTGATAGCATTATTCCAGCCTGAAAGATAAGTCCACCAATTTATTCTCATAAACATTCAACAACATTACAAGTGCAATAAAAATATTCATACATAAAAATAAATAAATGCAGTCTAAAACTTGATAAAATATTTTATGGTGATATTGTATCATGCCGTTATACTGAATGTAATCAATCCTTTTCAATTCTAGATGTCTCTACTTCCCACATTGTAGTGGGTCTACCATGTGCTAGATTATCCCATTTGTGTATATTATCTCTGTGGAAAGAAAAAAAACAAATAATGATCAGAAAAATAATTCACTAGATTATATTATTACTTATAACAATAAATGTCAAAAAGAAAGATTTTTCTCCGACAAAATCATTTTTTTTTTTTTAATGAGTTCTAGTTCTTAATAAGCTGTAAAAGTTGTTCGCATTTTTTAAATATTGTTTATTTTAATATATCATGTTGAGAGAAGGATATTTTACACTAGCTTAATAGATTTCCATTGCTGTTTCTCAGAAGTCTTGCAACAGGTATAACATTATGAATACAAAAAGTGTTTATTCCCTTGGGCATAATCAAAGACATTTTTGACATTCATGTTAACAAACTTATTATTTAATGTGACTGTCTAGTAGCTCAGTACCAAATTTACTTGAAGGAACACAAGACGATGTTACTATGACTTTGCCAATCAATGATTCAACAACAGTTTGCTGTTGCACTAGTTCAAATTTCACCTTTACAAATAATGTATTTTACAAATTTTGTACATGCCTAATGGACCCATGTCAAAAACTGATGACCAGCCACCGTCCCTTAAGGGCAACCATGTTCCATTCCATCATGGTACAGTACGCAATGACCTAACACATCTATATGTTTGTTATTTTGGGGCAAAGTTGGAAATAATATTGTCCCTTTATTGGATAAAAGTTGTAGTTATATAAATCCATTGCAAGTACAACTGTATTGAATTGTATAAAAATAGACATTGAAGCTTGACATTGTCATATTCACAAATTTTATTAATTAATTTCATAATTTTACAAAGTTGTAATTTGGTTCAAAATAAACAAAAGAAATTATTGAAAGATACGTCGGAGCTATGTCACAAGACGTTCTATGTTGCTAAGAGGCGCACCACTGTACTATGTATTTTCAAGGGCTCTGTGCGAGCTGCTGTGGACTGCCGGTCGAAGAGCTGGTGAAAATAGCTAAATTCAAGAAAACACAAACTCAACCTTGAAGTAATCCTGAACAACCAAATTTATATATGCTACACACGCAGGGGTAATCTTGTTACACTGGGGAGTCTCAAAAACCATCCCAAAGTATCGTTTTCCGAGAGTTTTCGGCCTTTGTTCTCACCGTGAGGATTGCCAAGCAGTGAAAATACCCAGATGTCCACCCCAAGGATAAAAAAATATTGGCGAGTATGATGGCATGCAAAGAATTAAAAAACTACTAAATAATGTCTTTATAGGTTCCAGAGTTATGGTCTGGTACATATTCTTCCAGAGCACACCAAGTTTCATTGAAATTGATGAGCTGGGATATCAATTGAATAAACATGCATGTACGACGTTCATTAATACATAGACAGACAGTAGTACAGAATAACTGCAATAAGTCTCATTGTGTATTTCAGGATTCATAAAAAGAGTGATTATGCAACTTGAC